AGTGCAGTTTAGAAGATAATGTTGTAATTAATTATGAATGTAAATTGCTAATAATGATGGTACTTGATAAACAATCAAATAGTAAATATTTACCATTACTTCTCAAATTGAAAAAATGAAAGTAATAAAATAACAATAAAAAGTAAATAGATTTTATTTTTTTCAACAGATTGTCTGAAAAAAGATGTTATTAAATGAACATGTTACTATTCTGTAAATCTGGTCAAAACAAGTTATATTAAGTGTTTTTTAATATTCGTAAAACCTAACAATCGTTAAGAAAAACCACGTATATTACTAGAGCACTATATTGACTTGACTCAGTCCTCTTTACTCCTTATGGAACATAGGGCCTCCACCATTTCCTTCCATTTCTTCCGATCCCCGGCTATTAATTTTGTCATCTCACAAGACATCCCTGTTGGCTTCAATTCTTCAAGAAGACTTCGCCTCCAGGTCTGTCTTGGGCGCATAGCACTATGTTGCATACCTTGAATGTCCTGAGATCGCTTCCTGAGCTGACCAACGCATCTGGTTCTACTTGGTACCTGACTCTACAGGTGGAAGGTATAGCAGGGTGGGTCATGGCCAGTTGTAATATCTCTCTATAGGCTGAGATCAATGGAATAGCTGAAATCTGCTTCATGTATTCTACTCATCAAATATTATGTTAGGTATTGTTGATATAGTAGGCCCTAAAGTGTATATTATCGCATTTTTCGCGCGAAATCAGAGTGTTTGAATCAACATAATGTACCAGTCTTCTCGAGAGTGTTCGTTTTTATAAACACATTCCTGTGATTGTTTGTTAGTTTAGTTTTAAAAAGATTTAATTTGCTTTTCATACAAAATGTAATTATTATTTATTTTATTGATAAACTTTTCCAAAATAATGCACGAAATCTAGAATTATATTTCAAATATATTGGTATGTCACTGCAGCATAATATACATTTAAGTGTATGAGATATAATGTCTATGACCTCATATAATCTCCCATGCTTTCCAAACACTGAAATATCAGGATAAAGAAGCATAACCGGTTGAAACACAGCCCTTGGCGTGGTGCTGACGATACAGACTAACGATAGAACGAACAGCTGTTGTGTTATTCTTATTTCTTTGCTGCTCAATGCTCCCTTGTCACGTGAACTTGGTACGTCACTGGTATCGTTTCTGGCTCTTGCGTTGTCGTTGAATGAGGCTCCAGTACTATGGGAGAGTGTGTGTTGATTGCGAAACTTAAGAGCTTTTCTAAGAACATTTTTCATAAAAATAGCAGTAATAGTTAAAATGATTTGAACAAAGTATGAAAGGAAAATCCCAGTGAATGTCCAATAGACATTTGTCACCAAATGCCATGTCTGAGATATCCAAAACATAGCTCTGTTTGCGTTAATGTTTTTATCATATGATTGGATTATTCCCATGAAAGCAAACATTGGAATTTCAATAATAAATATGAAAGCTGTTACAGATGTTAAGAAGACAACGGCTATTTTTTTAGTCCCCAGTTTTTGCCGAAACCACAACGGCGTAGCTACACTGAGACATCGAACAATGGCCAGAAAAATTATTGTGATCAAAGCGCAGAAATAAAATTCGCTTGCTAAAAGACCCAGAGTATAATCCACACTGTACGGGTCGATCGGGAAATATGTTGTATAGTTGCTACTTAATTCGGCATAGGTAAAAGCATAGGAGACAGAAGCAGCTGCTTCAGTTAGTAGAAACATAAGATCAAAGAAAGAAAGAAACAAAAATGACAGAGTCACACCATCCTTAATACCCATTGCGGCAAACGTTCGGATAGACAGGGAATTGCCTACAATTCCAACAAGGCAAATAACTCCACGTATAAGGGCAATAACTGAGCTCACTACTGTAACGTTGTCTTGCATTGAAGAAGTTTGTGAGAGCAACAAGTCAATTACCGCAGACATGTCTGCGTGGCTACAATTTAGTCACGTATGTAATAATAAAATAATACGTTTTTTCTTTATTTGATAAATAATGGAGAACCTTTCTAAATCTTTTACTATGAATTTTCTGCAAATATATAACAATAAATTATTGAAAATACACATTAGTTATATAATGTTGACGATTTAAATCTTCGATTTTTATTACTAAATCCATCACAATTTTTTTTTTATCTTTCAGGATGTCAACATCGTTCTATGTAAATCTCAAATAGCCAATAAATGCCAGTTTATGCTGTAGGTAAACAGCAATGTCTAGAGGAATTGATTGCCCCTTAAAATTATAACCGTCTGGTATAGGCGTTTATCAAAAGCTTAACCTCATTTCACATGATAAGTTGACATTTTGAAAAATGTAAACGCAAACAATTTTTTATTTAAAAAAACTTAAATTCCAATGATTTGGTTTTTAGTTGTCCATAGCAGCAGAAAGCATATGTTGGTATTAATTTGTTAAGTGTTTTAGTCTTACGTTTTTCAGTTGTGTTTGAAATTGTGTCATTATTTTCGGTTAGATA